AGGAAGTGTTTGCCTATGCATGCTATGATTGAGAACATTTGTCAGTACTCAAAGATTTTTGGGACATGAAGGTGACTAAAGGAGGGAGTCTGGATTGTAATAGTGTAGGACAAGGATGCTGGCCATGGGTGAAAATTTCCTGGGCAAGTGTGCAAGGGTCACCAGGGTAGGGCAGAAGAATTGTATATGAATGTAAGTGGTACAGATACAAGTAGAAAGCATCTCACAGTTGGGAATGATGTTTGAGTATTGAACCTAATGCCAGGAATTGATGGTGTCAATAGTGGGGTCCTGGTAATTAATTTGAGAGCAGTGGGAATTGGGTAGACTAATCATGATAATGGGGAGGATGAACATAATAAGGGGAGTGAATGGTGGGCACTGCTTTTCTAAATGCGGGAGCAGTGGTCTTTGATAATTGTTGGGTTAAGAGTGTGAAGGGGAAATTTGCTCCACTGCCTCATATTATAGACTTTCCACTTTCTGCTTCCTAAGCCCAGTGCTATTGAATATGTCAGCTCATCCTTTAGTGAGCAAGTTGAAAAGGGCTAAGAGTCAATGTTAGAATGGGGATGGTGACAAATGTTAGCTCAGGAGGATGTGTAGGCACATGAATAAGCATTGTGATAGGGTCCACTATAATAGGATAGGCTCAAGGGAAGGTTAAACTTAACATGGCAATTACTAAGGATTATGGGAGGAAGTTAATGGGAAACAGTGGATTGGTAGAAGGTGGTGGTTCCTCTTCTGAAAATGATGTGTGCCATTTTACCTTTCTCTCACTCAGAATGCATTTCTTAACTGGTAGCTAACAGTTGAAATGAGAGGAAGGTCTTTGCAAGTGGGAGGAGTTACTGTAACAGTGTGTGCTGACTAGAGGCAAACTCATGGATGTTTGAATGAGAACCTCTCAATGAATAAGGCCAAGGGCAACACTGTGTCTCCATGATTCAGGAATCTCATGAAATTATGATGTGATTTGTGATTTATATATATGTTTAATCTCATTTAATGTAAGTTCAGTTTTGTTGGTTTTTGAGTTAGCTGAATCAAAATCCTGGAATTCCCTCCCTAATAGCATTGTGGGTCAACCTACAGCAGGAGGACTGCAGTGGTTCAAGAAGGCAGTTCAACACCACTTTTTCAAGGGTAACTAGGGATGGATAAGAAATGCTGGCCCAGCCAGCCACACCCACATCCCACAAATGAATAGAACAAAAAACATGAGTTTCAAAGTTAATAATTAACTTATATTTCTGTTAAAACATGTTTTGAGGATTAGCTTTAGAATTAATGGCTTTTTGCGCATCACCAATGATATTTTTGTTTACCTTCGATGGTTTGTTGGTCAGCAAAGTAAATAAATGTTTTCTTAGACATTTCTGGACTCTTTTTAAAACTTAAAGGAAACCTTTAATAGCTTAGAATGAGAGAGGTTTTCTTTAGCTTTAATTTGGAACATAAATCATTCTATGAAGTCCTTGGATGAAACGGATGGATAGACCATAGCTCCTGAGAATTCAAGGATATAATGAAACTAGATTACCTTGGAGTAAAAAGTAATGTTATTCCTAGACTGGAAGAGTCAAGATAAAATCCTGAACAGGTTACTTAATGGTGAATATGTCTAAATCCAGGTGTCTAATAGGTCCAGGAACAATCTACCTACTATTCCAGCCTACAGGTTAAAATCATTATTGACTTAAACCTACCAACATATTAGATAAAGGGAGTCTGGTATGAATATTGTACCAGTGGTGTGTCAGTTAGTACGCAAAAGTTGTTTTGTTTCTTTTTGATTTATAAAGGAGTATAGTGGGATTAATGGGAATATAATTTTATGATGTGCTTAAACATTTTTGCATTGTGTCACAAGTAGATAGTTTGATTTATTCCATTTCATCATCATTTCTTTTGCTAATAAACTATTATATTGTTAAAGCAAAATCTGAAGCATCACATGCTTATGTTTCAGCGAGAGACCACATTGTTAAAAACAAAACAAAACATGATCTATCAAGTCAGCTTTCAGTCTGGGATCTGACTTGTCCAGTAATAACATCGGGGGCTGGGATCATAACAATATTGAAATCCCAACAACAATGGGAGCTGCAGTGACATTTGAAACCAAGGAAAACTCTTGTTGTTTGAGAGAGGGACAGAGAGAGGACTGAAAAGAAAATGCTGAACAGTTTAATCATTGTCATTTGTTCATATCTATTACATCATGTGTATATTCGGCTGGGTCAAATGAACCCTGCACTTCTATTCACAATAGTGCAGTGAGGTGTTGCAACCACTTAATGTTGTGTCTGAGATATCCCTGGGAATGGGAGAAAGCTGTGGTGTCAACACAGGTTGAACTGATGCTCCATTGAGACAATGCCCATCTGGGTGCTCTTTAAATATGGTGCCCGCACCATTGACCCTGAGAGGTAATGCTGGTAAAACTTGCTGTCTGCCCTCCCTATAATATTTACCATTCTCCTCCTGTTTGTATACATAATAAGTTGAGAACTGTCTGTACGAGAATAACCAGCTTACTCCTGAGTGGAGGTCCTCCCACTTCTATGCCAAATGCTGGATTTATTCAGTACAATGAAAAAATCCACCTTTTAATTTGACATCAGGGAATTTTTTTTCTTTTAGCAGTTCTTGCATCAATCCCAAACATTTGCAAGATCAACTCTCATTCTTCCAAACTCTCATTAGTATATCTCTATTTGCTGAGCCTTCCTCATAAAATACTTCAACATCCCAGGAATCAACTCAGTGTATGTTCTCTGAACTACCTGCAATGCAAACATATCCTTCGATCAAATGGAAACAACAACTGTACATAGTACTTGCCCTGTACGGTTCTATCAAGACTTCCCTACTTTCATCTCCCCATTGCAGTTAACATCCATTTTCTTTCCAAATTACTTGTAGTACTTGCATGCTTATGTTTTGTAAATCATGTTGTTACGACACATATCTAATGATGTGCAAGGATGCCCAGATCCCTCTGTACCACAGCATTACGCAGTCTCGCTGCATTTAAATAATATTCTGTTGTTCCAGTCTTCTTGCCAATGTGCACAACCTCATACGTTTCCATATTATGCTCCATCTGCCACATTCATGTGCACTCATATAACTTATCTGTATCCCTTTGCAGATTCTTTGGCATAGTTTTGTGGTGGTGATGGGGGTCTTGACTGTCAGCTGGAGAGTTGGCAAGATCCCCAAGTTGCCACTTTCAAGAAGCCATCTTGTGCCACTCAAGTGTTTCACAGGCCAGCGTCAGACCATTCTGCAGGATCAAAGACCATATGGGAAGAAGACCTGCCAGCTGAGAGCTATGGGCCAAACAAGGGCTACAGCTCTTCTATACACAACAGCACCACAAGGGAGGAAGTAGCTGCTGCTAGTTCACACCCACATGGAGGGCCATGCTCAGGTGAGTGACAACAAGGAAGGGTTTGTGGGATAGGAGTCATAAATTATTAGATTTGTACATCATAGAAACAGACCCTTCAGTCCACCTTGTCCATGCTGATCAGGTATACTAAATGAACCTAGTCCCATTTGCCAGCATTTGGCCCTTATCCCTCTAACAGCTTCCTATTCATGTACCTACCCAGATGCCTTTGAAATGTTGTATTTATACCAGCCTCTGCCACTTCCTCTGGCAGCTCATTCCATACATGTATGAAAAAGTTGGCCCTCAGGTCCCTTTTAAATCTTTCCCTTCTCATCTTAAACCTGTGCCATCTATTTTTGGACCCCCCACCCCCACCCTGCCAATCCAGGGAAAAGATCTTGGTTATTCACCCTATCCTTACCCGTTTTATAAACCTCTCCAAGATCACCCCTCAGCCTCTGACACTCCAGAGAAAATAGCACCAGCCTATTCATATTCTCCCTATAGTTCAAACCTTCCAACCCTCTGGCAACATCCTTGTAAATCTTTTATGAACCCCTTCAAGTTTCACAATATCCTTCCTATAGCAGGGACACCAGAATTGAATGCAGTATTCCAAAAGTGGCCATGACCTCCCAAGTCTCAAACTCAATGCACTGCCCAATACACACAAGTATACCAAATGTCTTCTTCACTACCTGTCTACCATTGTCACCATGATGAGTGACTTTCCCCCTGTCAATTGGCTATTTAAGACCCTTAATTGCCAGGGGGAACCATTTATGGGCCTTTAACCAGAGTCTTAGATGGGATGCAGGCAGAAAAGTAATGAAGTATTCACCTGATTAAATATCTCTACTAAACTCCCAATGGGAGAGTACACAAGATTCCAAGCTTATATCATCCTTATAACTTGCCTTCCTAGCTAAATTTGTATCATTAGCAAACTTGGTTACAATCTACTCATTGCTTTCACTTATTGAGGTAAATTACTTGCAGTGGAACCTCCAGCACTGATCTCTGTGGCACTCTTCAGAAGTGTCCAGACCCAAAACGTCAGCTTTCCTGCTCCTCTGATACTGCCTGGCCTGCTGTGTTCATCCAGCTCTACACCTTGTTATCCCATTTATCATGCGTCTTTGGTTGTATATTAGCTAGTCAAAGCCTCTTTCCATGTTAATGCATTCTCCCAACACCATGACTTCTTATCATTTAATGTAGCTTTTTATGTAGCATCTGATCAACTGCTTTTAGAAATCCAAATACACTGCATTTACTAGTTCCCCTTTAGCCACTTTCTAAAAACCTCCTCAAAGAACTTTAATAAATCAAACATTTATTTTTCGTAAAAGACATGTCGACTCTACTTGATTATATTCTGCTTTTCTAAAGTCTTGGTCCTGCTTCCTTAACAATGGATTCCAGGATTTTGTCAATTATAGATATTAGATTAAATAGACCATAGTTTCCAGCTTGTTGATGGTTTCAAGGAATAGATTGGCCCACTGTTCACTCAGGTTCCAGACACCTTATTACACTGTTTGAAGTTTGCATATCCTTCATCTCTGAGGGCAAGTAAGGGTGAAGACCTAAAAATGCCAGTATAAGTTTAACTAATGGGACAAGTTTCAAGATGTCCAGTTCCAGTAAAGACGTACATGTTATCTCATGTCATCAGGCCTGATGGGCATTCCTTTTAGTCTTGGTGTGAATAGTCTTAGCAAACGTCCTTAGCTCAAATGGAATTAATTATTGGGCAGTTAGACAGAGATGCAAAATTGCCCTTTTACATCAGCGCCAATATAAAATGTAATCCATTTATCCCATACCATCAGCAAAGAGTTTTATTTTGTGGTCTAAAAGATATCATTTTATATATATAGTCATACAGAAAAGTACAATTTCCAAGTTTCACCTTTCTGTGATACAGAATTCCTCCATAAGAGACAGAAATAGTAGCCAGAGCCTTGGTAGAGTGCACATGGTGTCCACCAAGATCTCCAGGCTAGTCACATGTTCACCAAAGTGATTATTATAAATTGACCCTTTTAGAGTAGAGGCTCTTTGTGAAATTTATTTGGCTTTTAAAGCTAGTAAAATAGCTTGCTTCCTCCCACAGCGGTTTGCCAATGCTGTTTCATCCTTGTACATTCCCCAACAGGATGCCTAAGTGCAAGTCATAACAGCCAGAAATATTGAACGTAGTCGGTTCCTCCCTGACACAGGACGTTTGTTTGGGCTGAGAATGAATGTCACAAGTATAGTGGGATTCAGACTCTGCTGCATTAATGGCAGTTGAGGAGCTCTGGAAAGTTATTTCAGTTCATGGTGAAGTTTGTAGAGTTCAGTAGCAGCTTTCTCAATTTTGTGTTATTCTGGAATAAATGGTACCCTTATGTATCACATAGTTTTCAAATTGTCTAAAACAAAATTCACAATGTAACACGATACATAATCCTTTTGGAGAACTGCACTTGCAGTCTCTTATTGTATCAATTTGGTGTCTGTCTAAGAGTTGATACCAGTGTTAGTATGATTCACAGTTCACCAGCAATGTTATCATACATCACACAAAACTTTTGTCACTAAAAGGCAAATGGAATTAAAATTGGAGTGTGTAGGAAGGCATAAGAAATTGAGAGAAAAGGTTATGACAGATATAATAGAATTTGTGTTGTAACCCACAGGATTATATTTATAAAATTTCTATCAAACCACAATGTAAAACATCAAAAGATATTGGATGGAGAAATTTTAAACATTTTAAAAGACTTTGGCAAGGAACAAATGCAACTCATGGCAACCTATTACTTGATTATCAATAGCATGGCTAAATCAATTGGATTGTGTGCCTAAAGATAGACCTAATATCCTCTTCACTATGAAAATATGTCCCTTATTATAAGAATTGGAATTCTTAACATAATGCAAAAGGATGTATAATACAAGTTGATTGATTCATCATCATGTTTCAAGTGAAAAAAAATGGTTTAATTTGCCTTTGCAGTCTGAGTTGCTCCATTGACCATACAGTAGATCAGACATATTTAATTATGTCTGACATATTTATGACAGCTGTCAATTCCACTTAGCTTCATTCACCAAATAAAGCCAAAATGAATTAAATAAAGGGGGGCCTATTCATTAATTGTGAGCTTCATGTTGCAGAAATCATAACATTCTCCTCTCTACTGGATATGACCAATGTAGGTAATTCTAAACATCTCCACCACATTCTTTCACTGATGAGCAGGAGAAAGCAAGAGATCATTATTAAGACAAGCCTGACATTCACAATATTGTAAAACCTTTCTGCTAAAATGATAAATGAGGAAGAGCAAGTTTGGTAGTGAAGCACAAAAGAGAAATGTTAAAACTAGAGACAGAGAGAAGCACAGTAAGGCAAAGAAAATAAGACAAGGAGAAAAGAAACATGCATTGATTCCAGCTTATTGTCCCTACTGTCAACATGATGAATACAGATTGATGCTATTAGCCTTGTTTTTCACATGAGAGCCTGCCTCCAGTTTCTAGCTGAAAGGTTCACACTTAAAGTGTATTGACATCTCTGCTAAATGATACCAATGCAGTACATAAGACCATAAGATGGAGGAGCAGAAGTAGGCCATTCACCCCATTGAGTTTGCTTCCACATTCAGTGAGATCATGGCCTATCTGATAATCCTCAGTTCCACTTTCCTGCCTTTGCCCAATAACCTTTGATTCCCTTCCTAATTGCAAATCTGTCAATCTCTACCTTCAATATACTTAACAACTAGCCTCAACAGTTTCTGGTTAAAAAAAATTCACAAATTTACTATCCTCAGGAAAGAAATTCCTCCTCATCTCTGTTTTAAATTTACAATTCCTTATTCTGAGATTATGACTACAGGTCCTCGACTCTCCCACAAGGGGAAACAACTTTTCCACATCTACCCTTGAAAATAGTTGTGGCGCCAGCATTGACCCCTCTGACACTCTATTCACAGGTTGCCATTCTGAAAATGCCTCCTCTATCCCAATTCTTTGTCTTCTAATAGTTAACCAATTTTCGATCTATGCTGACATAGTATCTTCAACACCATGGACTGTTACCTTATGAAGTTGCTAAATGTGTGCCGATGCAGCCTAATTATCAAATGTCTTCTGATCCAAATATGTTACATCCACTGCTGTACCTTGCTTGTTACTTTCTTAAAGAATTCTAGTAAATTTGTCAGGCCTAATTTCTCCTTCATGAAGCCATGCTTATTCTGCTTAATCATATCACGTATTTATAAATTTTCTGCTATTACATCCTTTACAATAGACTTTAATATTTTCCCAATAACAGACGTTAAGTTAACTGGCCTATTGTTACCTGTATTTTATTTCCTTCCCCTTTTAAATAAAAGTGTTACATTGGCAGTTTTTCAACCTTCTGGGACTTTTCCAGAATCTAAGGATACATGAAGATTACTACTAGTGCATCCACTATCTCTGTAGCTGCTCGATCTAATATCCCATCAGTTCCAGGGGACTTATCAGCTTTTTAGCCCCACTAGATTCTCTCATACTTTTTCTCTATTTTCATAAATGTCTGCCATTGTTCCTCAATGTCTTTGCTGGTAAACTCCTTCCCAAGTTGACTCTAGTCAGTTCTGCCCTTATTCTTTTGTAATTACATTTATTTAAGCATAGCACGGTTGTTTCTGACCCAGTTTTCTCCCTCTCAAGCTCAATGCAAAATTCTACCATGTTATGGTTACTGTTTCATAAGGGAAATTTAATTTTGACATCATTCAATAAACTTGCCTCATTACACATCACCAGATCCAAAATAACCTGATCCCTGGTTGTATCTATAACATATTGTTCTAGAAAACTATCCTGAACACACTATGAATTCTTCCTCATGGTTTCCTCTGACAATCTGACTATTTTAATCCACACCAAGATTAAACTCACTCATAAGAACATAAGAACATACGAACTAGAAGCAGGAGTAGGCCATCTGGCCCCTCGAGCCTGTCCCGCCATTTAATAAGACCATGGCTGATCTTTTTGAGACTCCATTCCACTTACCCGCCCACTCACCATAACACTTAATTCCTTTACTGTTCAAAAATTTATCTAGCCTTGCCTTAAAAACATTCAGCGAGGTAGCTTCAACCACTTCACTGGACAGGGAATTCCACAGATTCACAACCCTTTGAGTGAAGAAGTTCCTCCTGACCTCAGTCCTACATCTGCTTCCCTTTATCTTGAGGCGATGCCCTCTAGTCCTAGTTTCACCTGCTAGCGGAAACAACCTCCCTGCCTCCACCTTATCTATTCCCTTCATAATCTTATATGTTTCTATAAGATCTCCCCTCATTCTTCTGAATTCCAACGAGTATAATCCCAGTCTACTAAGTCTCTCCTCATAATCCAACCCTCTCAACTCTGGAATCAACCGAGTGAATCTCCTCTGCACCCCCTCCAGTGCTAGTATATCTCTTCTGAAGTAAGGAGACCAAAACTGCACACAGTACTCCACGTGTGGCCTCACCAGGACCCTATACAGCTGCAGCATAGCCTCCCTGTTTTTAAACTTCATCCCTCTAGCAATGGCAGACACTTGTGATTAACATACTGCCTTCGTTGTATGTCCTTATTATCTCCTGATTTAATTTCTATCCTACTGTAATGATACTGCTATGGGTGCCTATAGACTGTTCTCACTGTTGTTTTCTTTGCCTTTTTTTCTTCTCCTCCATCGATGTGGATTCTATATGTTTCCGTCCGAGATCATTTCTCCCTACCATACTTATTCCATCCCATTCCAACAATGCTACACTATCATACTTTCATTCCTGCCTGTCCTTTTGAAAAGTCACACACTCTTGTGTATTTGGTTCCCAGCTTTGATCTCCTTGTAACCATGTCTCTATAATGGGTGTACGATTGTACCCATTAACCTGTATTTGTGCTGTTAGTACATCTATTTTGTTCTGAATTTTACATGCATTCAAGTAAAGAGACATTACTTTTACCTTTTTACCATGTTACCTTGTTTTGACCTGATTTACTCAAGTTTTACTACATTGTATACTCTGTCCTTTCCTGCCACTTTGGGTATTGTTATCCAAATAATGCTGCCTGTAATGTTGCCATATCCTTTTGCTTTGTAAGCCTAAACTTACCACCTCCCAACCTACCCTCCATCCCCCAATACCCTAATTAGTTTAATGCCCTCCATACAGTCCCAGTTATTTGACTTGCAAGGACACTTGTCCCAGGATGATTCAAGTGAAGCCCGTCCCACCAGAACAGTTCTCTTCTACCCCAGTCCTAGTGCCACTGTTCCAAAAACTGAAACTCATTCCACCCATATCAACTTTGAGTCATGCATTTAACTTATCTTTATTTACCATATGTCTGCTTGCCCATTGCTGAGGTAGTAATATCGAAATTATTACCTTGGAGGATTTGCCTTTTAATTTAGCTCCTAACTATACAAACTCTTTCAGCAGCACTTCCTTTCTATTCTTGCAATTGCTGTTGGTACCAACATAGACAATGACCATTGGCTCCCTCTCCTCCCTCTCTAAGTTCTTCTCCAGCCATGAGGAGATGTCCTTAACCCTGCAGTCCCCATTCTTATCCGCACATCTTGCAAAATCCTTGTAACTGTTGAACAATTGCAGGGGCTGAGGCTCCCCAACTTTTACACTCTGTGTCCTCTTATTTGCCTCACTTGCAGTCACACCCTTCTGCCCCTGATCACAGGCCAATTTTGTGCTACCTTGTCTGAGGGGTGTGTCCGCCCTCTGGGGCAAAGTGTCCAGATAACTTTCCCCTTTCCAGATGTGGCGCACAATGTCTGCGGCTCAGGCTCCAGCTCTTCAAATCAGATCCGAAGTTCCTCAAGCTGCAAACACTTACTACACATGTCATCGCTCTGGATCACATTGGTATCCAGCAGTTTCCACATGTTGCAGCAGCAACACATCACCCATCCTGCCATCACTATCTTATTTGATTTAACTCAAAAATTAATTATTCAAGATTCCTTGCCTTACATTTCATTGTACTGATATATTGGTTACTGTAAGCTTAAAAAAACACAAGTATGGATTTAATACCTAGGCTGTTATTTTTAAGATGAAAAAAAAAGAAAAAACGCTAGAGGCTTAAACACAAACTGAAGACCCTATTTTTCTTGAAAGACTAAATATTCAACAGTCCTGCTCACTAATCAACTTTTTTCCCTGCACTCACATTCAAGGCATCACAGTGCAGTTGGTGTCACCGGCCTCTCAGTCAATGCCGTTTAGCCTCTCCCACTTATCCGTCACTTTCGAGAATGTATACCTTCCAGTAGACAGGTTGTGGACCATGTGGGCAGTTTTGCCAACATAGTCCATACATTGGATGCATTGGATCATTTTGTTTTGTATTTTCCTTCTCTATAGTACGTTAGATAACCAAAACACAAAACAACTTATCTAATGCCTCAGATGTCCAGACTATGTTGGCTACACTGTCCAGACATATTCGAGATAGTAGGAACTGCAGATGCTGGAGAATCTGAGATAACAAGGTGTAGAGCTGGATGAACACAGCAGGCCAAGCAGCATCAGAGGAGCAGGAAGGCTGACGTTTCGGGCCTAGACCCTTCTTCAGGA